TTTTTTTCTTTTTTTTTTTTTTTTAATGCATTGCATAGGTTATCATGCCTGGACATTCATTCCCCATAGCAGTAACGTAAAGCAGGGTTCCTGCACTTTCAAGGGCAGCAATTAGTTCGGGCCTGGTGGGCCCAATTCTGCCCTCTGCCCCAGACGCTGAAATCGAGGTTGCCTGAGCGTAACTGCGGGCATAAGTAGGCCCATTAGGCACAAGTCCTCTTCATTAACCCACGCTGACAGGTTGACCTTCAAATGATATTTCTCCGGTGCCTCTTTATAGAAGTCCACTTTCCTGAGGCTTTGTGGTCTTTCACCAACTCCTGAGTGGAGTCTCAGAGGAAGGAAGTGCCGCTGGGGCGCGGGGCACCACAGTGTCCCCAAACCCATCCGAGGATTACACCCTTTTCCCATTCCCTCACTGCCGGTCAGTGACATCACGCACGCTATAAATCCAAACGCTACTCCAAGCTGTGCAGCGGGCGGCCGAGAGATGTGGTAGGCAGAAAACCAGAGGAAAAGAGAGCCGGGGGTGGAGACGACAGGGCCGGGGTGCCCTTGGGGTGCTGGGGGGTTCCTTGGGTTAATGGAGCTGCAAGGTGAATGAAGGAGGGGCCATTCACTGCCGCTTGGAGCGGGACAGGACGCTGCACCCCAGGCGGCTCCGCATCCCCCAAAACGGGGGATTGCTCTGCCATCCCCGGAGAGTCACCCCCAGATAAGTGCGTAAAGACAGAAAAAGCCTGGGGTGAAGGGGAGGGAAAAGCAGCCTCGGCACGGTCGCCACCAAAACTTCTTAATTGTGGCGAACTCGGAAAGTGTTGTCTGGCAGCAGAGATTTCCCCGCCTGACGTGCAACCTTTTTTTTTTTTTTTTTCCCCTGGCGGGGAAAAAAATGACATATGGGGAGACCATTTTTAAAAAAACCTTTTTTTTAACTTTTTTTTTCCCCCTTTTCTAAGAGACTGATTTGTGAGTGGGGGAAAAGAAATTCAAATCAGTAAATGGGAGATGGGAAAAACTTGTCAGCTGCCCCTGAGCCTTGTCCTGTGAACGTTATGTAGGGCTGTGGCGGCTTCAGCCGAAGAGCAAAGCACGGCCCGAGCGGCAAGGAGTTGGGGGAGGACACAGAGGAGGCATTCGCACTAAAACTCACTTTATAAAATGCATAAGCAATCTCTGGGGGATAGGAGGAAAACTATATGTATGGTCCTGCTGGGTGCTTTAGCGAGAGAGCCCCTTTCTCCAAAGCTAATTAAGCAATAACGATTCGAGCTTCGAGACCGGTGTTCTGAGCCATATCTCCCGGATCTTTTATTCCTTTTTCTCTGTCTCACATTCTCCGTTCCCTTCATCACAGGGGACATTATCGGAGTCACCGCAGTGCCACGGACGCTGCCGCAGTTTCGGTCCAGCCCGTGGTGTGTCAGAAAGCTCCTACACGAATAAGGACAGAGGAGCATGTCTCCATCCTCAGCCCTTGCGTTCTCCCAGCCTCGGCAATTCCGCTTCTGCTCCGCACCGAGGAAAGCACCTCTGCCGAACGCAGCCGGAGGAGCGCCGTGTGCCGGCCATCGCTGTAGGCGCTGTGCCGGTGACTTCCGCGGGGTTCTACGGACGCGTGGTGCCCGCGTCCTCACTGCAATCTAAAAATCTGCACCGGAGATGCGTTATTTCCTTAGAACAGTACAACATATGTGCGCATACAGAGATAGAGATTTATCAGTCGTTTTAGTGCAAGCATGCGTTCGTATGACCGAACGTGTATTTACATACGTTCTGCGTCTGGACTGGCTTTGCCTTTTCATGGCGTACACTGGACGCACACACGGATTTATACTCATACGCACGCACAGCCGCTTTCTGTCCCGTTGCACTGTCCCCAGAGACTGCACACCGCTCTCCCCTTCCCTCTGGAGCCTGGCATCACCCGCTCTGCTCCCCAGTCGTGCCCGCCGAGCCCGCCACTCCTGCCGCCCCGCAGCCTCCGGGCGCGGCCGAGTTGAATCCCGGGCTCAGCGCTGCTCCTTCCCCCAGGCGCCGGGCCGCTCCCCGCCTGCTCTTCCCCAGTGCTTTCCCCAGGCATCCCCACCGCCTCCGCCCCGAGAACTCCGTGTTCCCGCAGGAGAAGGACCCGCGGCTCCGCCGCCGCCTCTGCAGCTCCTTCGTCTCTATCTTTCTCTTTCTTTAATTTACGACCTTTCGGCTCCTGTTGACACAGTTTTCCACACTGCCTACAGTGCGAGGTCGCATTGTAATATACGCCGAATGAGCTCAGCCGTCGGGCAGTGCGCAGGAGGGTGGGGATTTGGTGTTTCCCCACAGTTGAGCGATGCTCGGCTCCGTCTGAGGATAACAGCAGTCGGCCTCATCTCCCAGCTCTCCGGGGGTCGCAGCCTGGGGTCTGCTTTCCTTCCCTCAGAGTCAAACACCTGGAACTGTTCTTCCCACGGGCTCTGTTCTTTTTGACCGCAGAGCGGGAATGCGGAGAAAAATATCTGTATTTGTCGCTAAAGGCGAGGAGGCAGGCTCCGAACACGCTGTAAGGAAGATTCTGTGACTTACCGCCGAGCCCAGTTAAACAAACACGGAGCTGACGTCTGGAGCCGCACCGCGCCAGGACCGCTGCTCGAGGTGCGGGCGCAGTCGCGGGCCGGGGGCAGCGCTCGGTGCCTGGTTCAGTGGCGGTGCCTCGGAGCTGCTCTGGCTGAAAGCCCCATGCCGGCTGAGCCCGAGACCCGCGCTCCGCTCTCCCGGTTCGCGTTACGCGGTGCGCTCCTCCCTCATTCCCTTTGTGCGCGTTACGCGGCGCTAAGCGCACGGGAGCGGTGTTGCCCATCGCGGCCGGGACGTCCGCAGTGTCCTCGGAAGCCGCTTCTACGTGATCCTCTACGGAGCGGCACGAAGCGCTCCGTGAACGCCACGATCGCAACGATTTTTGCCAAGAAATCTCCCGCATCCATACTGTACCTGGCTCGGGATTGTCCGATATTTACATTTTAATGATTTTGTTGCTATTTTTTTTTTAAACGAAGATTTTACAGTAAGGCATCTGCTAAACACTTGCATTAACCTCTGCCTCCATGATAATTCCCCCCCCTTTCCCCCCCCTCGTTTTAATTACGCTCTGGATGCGGAGGGGCAGCCAATCCCGGCAGAGGAGCGCGGCAATTAGCAGGGCCGACATCAAAAAGTTTTATTGCGGAGCCCCGCGGACTCCGCCCCCGCCGCCAGCCATTGGCGGTCGCCGCCTCTGACGCCATATATTAACCCGAGCGGCCCTAAACATGTAGCTGTCCATGGAGGTCGGCCCGGGGAGCCCTGCCAGTGCCCCGGGCCGCGCCGAGCCCCGCCGCCACCGCCCCCCCGATGTCCCAGCGGAGTGCTGAGCATTGAGCCGCGCGGCGCGGAGAGGCGCCGACCGCGGCCCCCGAGCGCAGGGGAGTGTGGGCAGCGGCGAGCGGCCGCGGGCCGGGGCGTATGGAAGGGGCCCGCGTGTAAGTACCACCCGGCCGGGCCGCCGCGGACTTGAGAGCGAGAGCACAGGGAAGCAAGAGGCGAGGAAGAGCCCGGGCTGGGAAGCCGAGCCCATTTGTTTGGTCGACTGCTCTCCGTAGCGCTTTTTTTTTTCTTTTTTCTTTTCCTTTTTTTTTTTTTTTTCCTCTCTCTCGCGCGTGTGTACGCGCTTCCTCGAAGACCCAGCCCCGGGCGAGGAGGAGGAGAAGGAGGTGGAGGCACAACGCATGAGCGGCGGCGGCGGCGCCTGGGGAGGGGGGATCGCTCGGGCACCCGCGGGGACTCCGCAGCAGCGCCCCATGGAGCGGCACTGAGGGCCGAGCGGTGCCGCCGGCGCGGCGGGCTGGGGCGGGCGGCGGGAGAGCTTCGTTCGAGGCCGGGGGCGGGCCGGGGCGCGCGAGGCAGCGGCGATGAGTCTGGTGGGAGGTTTCCCCCACCACCCGGTGGTGCACCATGAAGGTTACCCCTTCGCCGCCGCCGCTGCCGCCGCCGCCGCCGCCACCCGCTGCGGCCACGAGGAGAACCCCTACTTCCACGGCTGGCTTATCAGCAGCCACCCGGAGATGTCCCCCCCCGACTACAGCATGGCTCTGTCCTACAGCCCCGAGTACGCCAACGGGGCGCCGGGCATGGACCACTCCCATTACGGGGGGGTGCCGCCCGGGAGCGGCCCGCCCGGGCTCGGGGGGCCCCGGCCGGTGAAGCGCAGGGGCACGGCGAACCGCAAGGAGCGGCGCAGGACTCAGAGCATCAACAGCGCCTTCGCGGAGCTGCGCGAGTGCATCCCCAACGTGCCCGCCGACACCAAGCTCTCCAAGATCAAAACTCTCCGCCTAGCCACCAGCTACATCGCCTACCTCATGGACCTGCTGGCCAAGGACGACCAGAACGGGGAGGCGGAGGCTTTCAAGGCAGAGATCAAGAAGACGGACGTGAAGGAGGAGAAGAGGAAGAAGGAGCTGGTCAGTGCCGCGGGACGGGGCGGGAGGGGTTCGTTGTGGGCAGCGGCGAGAGCTGGGGTTCGCCGAGGGGACGGGGGCACGGTGACCGCGGAGCCGTTCGGCCCGGCCGCGCCTTCGCGCCGGAGCTGCCCCGCGACCTTCAGCGGGAGGCCCCGCTTCGCCCAGCCCAGCTTCGCGCAGGGCCTCACGGAGCGCTCGGGCCGCGTTCGCCCGCGTTTCGGCGGCTGCCGTTGCGTCGCAGGCCCGCGGCTCCGCCCGTGCGGCGCGATGCGGCGCCGTCCCGGAGCCCCGAGGGCCCCCCGAGCGGCGCGCCCCGAGCTCTCATCCCTCAGAAGGGCCGCCCCGCGAGCAGTGCTCTGTCCCCGCAGCGCGGAGGCCCCGGGCCGAGCGGCGTTTGCTCGCAGCTTTTCTCCAGGGCCGCGGTCGGGGCGAGCCAGGAAGTCAGGAATCTGCCTAACTTCGTTTCTCCTCTCCCCGCTTTGTTTCTCTCTCTCCTTCTCCCTTCGCATCCTGTCTCCCAGAACGAAATCTTGAAAAGCACAGTTAGCAGCAGCGATAAGAAAACCAAAGGGCGGACAGGCTGGCCGCAGCACGTCTGGGCGCTGGAGCTCAAGCAGTGAGCGCGGCGGGGGCCCCGCTCGGCGCTCCCCGAGGACTCTCGCGTTCGGAACCATCCCGCTTATTTATGTGCAATTTCTCCCCCACCCCCCTAAAATGTGGATATTTGAAGGAGAGGGAAAAAGCATTCCATAGATGGCTATGAAGAGGAAACTCCGTCTTGGTAAGGGGTAATAACGTCTCTAGTAGTTCCGTGAATGTTATTTGCTCTGTATAAAACCCACGGGGAAAACAGAACGGTAGAGAAGGAGAAAGGGGAAAAAAAAAAACCCTCCCTGGCATTAGTGTGTATGTGAAGTGTATCTTTAATACTTGGCCGTTTGGATATAAATATTCCTGGGATTATAAAGTTCTATTTCAACAGAAGCAGTTGCACCCGCGTTCGGTCGGCTCCGTATTTCGTGTCGTGATTTTGTTGTGGTTGTTCAGTATTCTGAGATGTTTTCAGCAGTTATTGGTTATGTGCACTTCCGTCCATAAGGGAAAAAGTGGAATCTAATTAATATTGAAGGTGTAAGCGTTGTAAGTACTCAATAAACCACTGTGTGTGTTTTTTACAAAAAAAAAAAAAAAAAGAAGGGGGGGGAAAGAAACCCAAATCTTTTTATGTTTTATACCTCAAAATGTTTTGAATAACAGCGTTGTTTATGGCTTTTTTTCATAATATTTAAAATATTCGGAAGTAAACTAAATTATAAAGATGGCTCCGAGGTTCGTTTTTAACCCAGTGCCCGAGTGAGAGGAGGGGGTAAGGGACGACTCCCCCCTCCCTGTGCCTGCAGTGTTCTCCGGGAGAGGGCTGCCGGGCGGGGCATTTTGGCTCTGCTCTCGGCTCTGTTGGCCCAGGTAGTTTCGTACCGAGCAGGGAAGAGGGAACGGGGCCGGAGCTCCGCGCGGAGTGGGGATCAGGACGGCAGGTTTACGATTTGCTGCGGTGAGCTTAGTATTATTAACTCAGTGGTTCCCAAAGCTTTCACGAATTACATAGCCCTTTCCTTTTCTTTTTTTCTTTTTTTTTTTTTTTTTTTTTTTTTTTTTTTTTTTTTTTTTCAGCCCCTTCCACCTCTTCCGTGATAAACCTCGGCTCGGTATCGCCGCGCCCTCTAAACCCGTGCTGGCTCTCTCTCTGCAGGTCCGTGGCCGTGTGCCCGCCAGCCCCACGCCCGAGGAAGTGGCTCCCGCCGCCCCCCGACCGTGAGCGGAGGTAGAGGTGCGATTGCCCGAGCCAAGATCAGGGCGTCCCGCGCCGGCGCTGGGAAGGTTGCGGGGTTATGACAACGGGACCAAAGGGCCGTGCCCTCTTCCCGGCGGGTCAGGCGGCCCGGCCTTGCGCTCCGGCGTGGGGCCGTGTTTACAGCCACTTGCCTTTGTTTGTAGCACTTGCAGAGAGGAATCTCCCCCTTGTTTGCTTTGCCCTGCCTGCTAGTGGCCGGGCTGACGAAGCAGAGGGCTCTGCAGCCCCCAGTCTCCATTCTGCCTTCTTCAGTCTTTGCCACTCGCCAGGGCATGGGGCTGCTGCCGAGAGCTGTCCTTTCCAGGTTTTCCGATCCGTAATACTCTCCTTTTCGAAACGTTCGTTTTTTTCAGTCCTGGGAGTCCCCCCGGACCCGCTAAGGAGGATCTCTTTTTAATTGTTCGGTAGTGAGGATGTTGCCGTCTTCTCAGGAGCAGTCATTCCCGGAGCTAAATCACGAGAGCCCTAGACAGCCCGGAGCCGGCAAAAGGCTAAATGGGGGAGCGGAGCGGCAGAAGGTGAATTGATGGTAGCCGGGATGTCAGCACCCCGGCCCTGCTCTGCGAGGCGGAGGGACTGATAAGAACGGGATCCTCGGCCTCAGGGCAGCTGTGTGGGAGGTGCGGGGCACGTAGCTGCAGTGGGACCCGACTGTGGGCAGTGCGGTGGTTCCGCAGCGTTTCCTTGCGTGATGTGGTGTAGCCGGGTGGGTCCAGCCCGGCTTTGCTCGCGGCCCAGTGCTCACCTCTAGAGAAAATGACTTCTTATTCCCCCCCTACCCCCACGCCGAAAAGAAACAGCAGTACTCCCAGCGGGCCTCTCCTCGGCGCCCAAAGCCTATTGCTCCTGTGGTGGAGATGCTGGCCGAGCCCCGGTCGCTGTCTCCCGGGGCTGCCCCGTGTTTGGCCACCGGCTGCGGGATGTGTTTATGCCAGCGGGGCAGATGAGCTCAACAACAGTGATTTAAAATTTGTTGGTTAATTTTTATTTTTTTTCCCCGCCCGCTCATTTTCAGGAGCTCTTCTGTACGTCAGGAGATGATTGCAACGATTACTGCTAATTTGCTTTCGTTGTCAGAGCGTTGTGATGGGCTCCCTTCTGCCCAAGCCGCAGACACCCCCGTAACGAGCGCCGGGACTTTCGCGGGCGCTGTACGGACGTAAACACGCCCGGGGGATGCCACTGAGCCAAGGCAATTCCCAAAGGTGGGCGGGGAGGAGAGGGAGAAGGTTAATAATAAAACCTCGAAGCAAAATATCCTCCTCCCGCGCTCGGAAACCCACCCTTAATCCTCCTCCTTCACACGTACCGCCCGGCGGTCGCAAACGCGCCCAGGAGAAACCTCCAAGCAGCGATGGGAAGGAAACGCGTTCTGCGCTCCTGCAGGCATAATCCCCTCTGCTGTAACGAGGGGCTTATCGACGCTTTGCATTTATTTTATTTTATTTGGAATACAGGTTTTTTTTTTTTTTTTTTTTTTTTTTGGGGGTGGTTTTGGGTTTGTTTTTTTTTTTTTTTTTTTCTGTTGTATTTTGTGGGCTCCGGAATACGCGCCTTCGCCAGCGAATTCCAATCTTTTCCATTTCTAATTGGGCTTTGTTGCTTCAGACAACGGAGATTAACGCGGGGCTCCTGAACTATGCGTTCCCATTAACTGTAGCCAAAGGGTGCGGAGCCCGACTGGGGCTCCCCTCTGCCTCGCCGCCGTGCATGTCTGCCTCTTCCCAGAGCACCCCACCCTCATTTTCCCCTCCCGAAGTTGCCGCTTTGATGATCCGATGGTAGAGCATTGATTACAAATTTATTCTCGGACTCTGTGTAAGTCTTTATAACTGCTATTAGAGCCATCTGGGAACGATTAGGGTCTCCCTCCCCCGGCCCTGATGCCTCTATCTCGCGGCGCGGAGCAGAAGCCGCGCTGACGTCACGCTGCCCGCAGCCATCCCCGCTCTGGGCGACATCCCGTCGGTGTTTTCCAGGCCCGGCCCGGCAGCGGTGCGGTGCCGTGCTCCGAGCCTGGGGGCTCCTTCGCCACCGCCGTGTGCTCCTTTGGCCCTGGGAGAAGCAAGAACAAAAGCCGCTGTTGCAGCCGGGCGCTCCCCCTGCTCCTCTCAGTCCCCGGCCCGGCGCTGGCTTTATCTTCGTCTCCCGGCGTGGATGCTCGCTTCCAAAGCAAACATCGGGCCAGGTAGATTTCCACCTTATGTCCCGGCAGCTGACCCCGAGGTGCAGCGCTTACGTGCGGGAAGCCGCAGGCTCCTTGAGAGCTGGGAAGCGGGCTGCTCCAGCTCCAAGTGCTGCTGCTGCCTGGAGATGGCCTTGCACCTGCT